GTGTTCGACGGGGTAATGAGTTGCGCGTTTGCGATTAACATAGAGAACGTCCTAAGTGTAAAGGCAATAATATGTAATTAATTATTTTGCACCGCGTAACTATTCATTAATCGTTCTTCGATGAACAAAGAATTTTATATATTGAAAGCTTTAGCGCAATAATAATATCAAACATTGTTTATCTTTTACAAACTTGAGAAAATTATCTTGGATTATTTTCACAAATCTTGAAAAAAAAATTGGAGTTGTACTAAAATATTAAAAATTTTTATTATTTTGAGAAATCTTTATACTTTAACAATTTAGCTTATGCAGAATTATTATACGTCTCGAAGCGTCGCGTACGTCTTAATTTACTATGCCAACCAGACGACCTTCTTTATTCAAGCTCGTTGCGGACTGACGGCAAACTGCATCGTCGTTAACTTGGAAATAGTATATTATACTTAATATCGCATTACGATATCACCGTCGTATTACCATTCGCGATTTAAGCAGCGGCCTTTCTGCGCGCACTCAACAACAGGTTACGGTTATCAGCGAAATAATGTGACAGGACCCCTTTCACAATTCATTCAACTCGAAATTGGCAAATGTCGCGGACTGATTATCGTGCATTTCATTTACGAAAATGACGTGCAAAACGCGATGAACAAAGAGATGAATTTTCTGCTGCGGTTCGGATAAAATTTTAATTATGTGCCAATATCTGTGGTAATTTTAATGTGCCAATATCTGCGACTTGAAAGGTTCACTTCGATTTTGCGCAGCCGTATATCCTGTCCGGAAATCCAGCGAATTCTTACGGGAGAATTGAGACGTTTGCTCGCGGTTTAATTTTACAATCAGTTACCGATCTTCTCGAAGAAGTGGACGTTTCGGTGTTTGAACGACGCACGCATACGCGTCGCGCGATAATCTCGCGATAATTAGGATATTCGTAAGAAGCTCTTCATTAAAAGCGCATTAAAAGACGCGGCGCGCGCGAAAGGACGCGCCTTCGGAAACGCGTTATAGCACCGGAACCGGTCCCGAAGCCATCGCGAAGATATCGCGCAATTTCTCCGGATTAAGAGGAAATAGTGCGCCTGTACTCCTATTTATAGCCAGTTTCCGAGCCGCAGCGTCGCGCGCAACCCCGTGTTTTTCCTCCGTGGCCTTCCAATGCACGTGTGGAGGCGCCTTTAAAAGGACACGTACGAGAGATGCAGCGGCGTAGAAAGAACTCGGTAAGAAGGCGAAACCTACACGAGATGCGTAAAATCCGGGCCGTTGTAAAACCTTACAGGGAGAGATTACTCTTAGGTGTCTCGTCTCTCGTTTTGCGATCGAGAGATCGACATTTATGTGTGTCATTTTGCTGTTATATTTCGAGGCTTCGTTTCTCTGAGATTTTATGGCAATTTCGAAAAGTACACGCATAAATCGGAGAGAAAGGGGCTATAATTATCAGCTGATCTCGCGAACTGCGAAACGCGCGATGGGAGATATCGTGTAACGTAGAGTGACGTCGGTGAGAGGCGCTACATATAAACAATTTTCCCATGCGAATTACAGGGAACACCGGTTCTCTTATTTCGCGCGCTTCTCCTTTCGATCTGTATAATCGAGACGGTTCTCAGAGGGAAGAGGAGAAGAGGACGTCGGAAACTCTCGCGTTGCCGATCGAGGGACGATCTCTACATAGCGATGCAACGGACAGAGGGGTAGTTATTACGCGCGTGTACACGATAACTAGATGATTAATTTATTATCGCCTTGCTACTGGGTTCACCCAGTTACCCGATGTGCCCGATAGGTCAGTGCGAGGGCCGCGCGCTCGGGCTGGGGAAAGTATCGATTTTGCATCGCACGAGCAACGCGGTTGCACGCTCGAACGTCTCTATTCGCTCGCTCGCTCGCTCTTGTAAGCAACGCGCGCGCTTGCGGACGTTATTGTACGTCGCGTATATAATAGCCGATCAGATTAAATCTCTCTCCCCGCGCGCGCGCGCGCGGATAAGCATGCCCGCGTTTTACACGCTACCGTTGTGTCGTATGTAGCTGTCGTCGTCGTCGTGTCGTCGTTGTCGTCGTCGTCGTTTATCGGCAAAGATGCGCGATGTACCGTGATCGCAGCGGAGTTGCAAAATTATATTGTCTAGTTATTGCTCTGCTTAGCTATTATAATATACATATATTAAAATATTTAGAAGGTTATTAATTATATATTATATGAATAGCATACTAAATATAAATATATATATGTATTTTGTATTTATATTATACTATATATTTATATATAATAAAAATATACAATGAAAAATATGTATCGCGCGAAAGAGAACAGCGTACAATCAATGTTGAATATATTATAATCTAGGTCAATCCATTTTTGCAATAACGACATTTAATGCCACGATACCAATTATTTTATCTCGCGTATCATTAATTCATTAATTATTGAAACACTTGTGAGAGATTATTGACTCGTTATTAACTACAACAGAAAATTTCAAACGGTCATTATCTGTGCGTGGCGAAATTATTTCGACAGAGTTTTAATAAAGATGTCATGTCGACCGACACGTTACCGTAAACTTTGTAAGCAGATTGATGCGCCCACCGGTCGTGCGTGTATGCTAATTTAAAATTGAAGTTATTATACGAGAGAGAAACCTTCGCCTTATAAGTATGTACGAAAGAGAGACTATTGTTATGCGGCGCGCACACTCGTATCTGGCACCGCAATAATAACAACGGCGATAATAACGATTTGCATGCAGGTCGGGAATAACGGGTACTTTGCGGGCCCACATTGCACAGAGGTCCAAATGCATCTGCGAGAAAGGGCCAACCCCTCATTGTGCGTCCGCGCAGTTTGACGGTAAAGACTTTGTCAGGAATATATGTCGGATCTTATCCTCCTTTAAAACGCCAGAGATAATCGTCTGTCATTTTTCAAAGCAAAGTTTTCTCTCTCCGTCATGCGATCGTAATTTCTTAATTTTTCGTATAATTCTCGTGAATTTTTTAAAGCATATTTTTATTCTTTGTTCTCTCGTCCTCATAAGGTTTTTTTTTTTTTTTTTAATGTATCTCATTGAATTCTTGCGACACAACAGAATCGTCGATTTTTTATTGTCATGATAGACTTTTCATTATATACGTGAAAGATGATTCGTAAAGATTTCACGAGGCATTTTGCCAAGTATGTTCCGGCATTGTTCTCCGTTGCATTTAATTCTCTCGCGTAGAAAGCGAGTCCGTAGATTCCCATAAGTATCGTTAGTAGTAATTCAAGACTACTCACAGCAAAAAGATATGTGATACGAAAAACTTGACACACGGTATGCGCGCCTCTAAGGCGCTCTTATCTTCTTATCACCCGACACTATTATATACGTCGCCCATCTCGCGCTCCCGCGGCTCTTTATCCTCCTTTGATTTTATAACGTTATGTCTCGCGCTCGCTTAGTTTACTGCTCTTAAAAGTCCGCCACGATAATGATCGTATCGTGTAACGCGCGCGTACTCACACAAACTAAATCGTAATTTTCTCGACGAGTCTCTTTCTTTGTCAGATGATAATTTTTTACGCAGTCGCTCTTGTTCAACTGCGTTAACTTTGAGGTAAGACGGCAAATATCTTGAGACGAAATCGCCGTACAAAGTGTTTCAAGAGGCTGATCTTTCGACGAGCGTGCGAATGGAAATCTAAATTAGTAAATGCCGAAAAAATTAATGACGCAGGATTGAAAAATGCACCGGGGAGGAGGATATCGAGCGTATATGGAGCATTCACACGCTTACCAGTTTTGTTTCGGAGAAGAGATTGTTTAATTATATACATACATTGGTTTATTTCCTTGTCAAACGATAAGAAGATAAATTTGTGCCGCGGCTAAATTATAACGTGCTAATTCGTGGCTGAAGGCCCGCGATAGGCCATGTGCAAGCCTGTGAACTCGAGATTTTCGAGACTGAAAATAGAAATAAACGACGGTAATGGCGGCCGCTTGCGTACGGGACCCGGGATGCTGAGTTCTTCCCTACGAGAGAACTACGATTTCCTGCACGATTCCGGAACATGATTCCGGGAAAAAAGTCGGCTAGCGAGATCTCGTTCGGCACGCACTGCGCCCTACAAGGGAAGACGAGGGGCTCTCGAAACGCGAGGGAAATAACGTTCTCTCTTTCAAACGTGATCCTTTCGGTGTAATAGCTGTGTAACATTATTCAAATAGATAAATTTATTAATATCAGAGTCTCTTCTGACAAATGTGGAGGTATTATTTGTTAATTAAAGTCAATCTTTCTTTTTCACAAATATATCGGGATATTATTATTTTAAGATTAATATTATAAAAATTGTTTTTCTTTTACTTTACTTTTGTAAGATGAGGAAAATTTTCCGGTACGTGTCTCTCTTGAAATACGTTGGATCGGAATCCGGATTCCTGGATCCCATTCGATTCTCTTTATGGTTTTTTGTCCCATCCTCCTCCCCTCCCGTCCGCCCGTCTTTCCCCTTCGTCTTCTGGCGAACGCAGCGCGCTCGTTTCTTGAATTGCGCTTTATTTATGCGATTCTCAATGACCTCGAGGTTGAGATAATCTCGCGGCAAGGCACGCTGCGAGACCATTTCCCGGCGAGAACATCCATACGACTCTCGGACGGGAAGGGGGAAGGATGGTGTAGTCTCGAAACCGCGGGGCATCGTCGTCTCTCAGCGTCGCGCGGAGGTCAGCGTCGTCCTTTCTGCGATTTTATTGACGCTAGACGAGGCGCGGAGTAGACGCGTTTCCCCCTCGTACGAGGAATTCCAGTTTCACGTTCTCACCGTCGAAAATTTATACTTATTTATAATGTCTCTCTCCTTTTTCTTTCTTTATTAATTTTTTTTCGTCTTTACTCGCGACGATCGCGCCGGTGCCTTATGCCGGAAGCGTATCGCGCCGATAGATGTAACGGTGAATTAGCACGGCTGTGAAAGAGATTTTTCTCTCTTCTCGTTGCAGATGCTGCGGTCGGCGGATCACCTTCTTCTGCATCCGAGCGGCGAGATCGCGCTCCGATTATGGTGAGTAAATCCCCCTCCTGCCTCTGGTCGCTGAGATAAATTATTTATAACGTACGTTGCGTGTCATCGATGAGCATTCATTCGATTTATCGTGAGGATCGGTAGGATCGATCTTTTTTCGTCTTTGGGCCGACGAAAACTTAACGGAGGATTCGCCAAATGTTTTCTTTGCGCGCATCATGTCGATTTTGCTCTTGTAACGAAAATTTATTATCCTTTGAATATATATTTGTAAATTTAAACTTGACTCTTAAATTGAATATACTAGTGTGCTGTGTTGGAAGAATTTACACAGAGTGGAGTTTAAGAAAGTGAAAAATCATATTATCCAATTTTATATCAAAAATATATATAAACGCGTATCTTGGATAAAAGAATAAGAGCCTGTCTCTCAGATTTTTTCGCAGATTATTTTTCTTCTATTTGACTTTTGGGCTTGTTTTCGATTTTACGATAGATACAATGAACCGCGTGAAAATTGCACGAGACGTTCATTGACGGTTAATACGATGAAAATCGCATTCCATATATTATGGAGTATCGCCACCCACCTAAAACCGGTCCGACACGCGTTATACGTGCCCTGGTGTCCCATTGTAACAGATGGTAACGCAACTGTTTCTCTCGTTCGCGCTAGAAACTGGGACAGCCCACGGTTATGTTATATCATTGCCTCGGATTACGCGATTGCTCGTTAACGCGCGTCCGCATTATGCGAACACACCTTCACCCACACGAGAAACTGTTAAATATTAATTATACGCGCGCGCGCGTGTGTGTGTGTGTGTGTATGTAATCGAGCGTAATTTTGCGCCCAATATGTGAACGAGACGATATGCGGGCTACTATACTTCCACTCCATTAGCCGACTTGTGTAAATTAGAGCCCGTCCACCGGATTGCGAATTACAATCGGAGAAATTTTGTCGTATCTGCGCGAAATGGCAATTTATCGCGCGGTTGAGGGTAACCATCGCCGCTAAATGTAAATGCGGAGAATGTCGACGGAGAGATACCCGCAAACAGCTCGTTCTACTCGCTCGGAGGTTGACTGATCTCGATTTTACCGTTACTACTTGGTAAGAGAGAGAGGGGCAGATTACTCGCGGCCGCGTCGCTCTAATCTTCCGGTACGCTAATTAGTCCTCTCGCCGCGAAGGGCGTGGGTAATTCCTTTATAGAGAATAACGACGTAAATGACTAGTCGCCTTTCATAATTCTCTCTTTCTCCGCCACGTCTCTCTCTCTCTCTCTCTCTTCTTCTTCTTCTTCTTCTTCTTTTTTTTGTTTAAAAGGCAACCGTCATGCGAATATATATCGTGCGACGTTTCATAGGAACATAACCGCCGCTTTATCGTGCGATTATCCTCCTTGCTGACACGAGAAACGTTTTAATGGGGAGTAAACGTTTCGACGCGGATGGGACATAAGCGTGTTATTTTCTGACTTTTTCGCGATATACATTACTAGCCTCTTAAACACGAGAGACTGCTCGATCGCGTATATAGCCGATCGGAACTCGTTTGTACATTGTATGTGCCTAGTGCCTACACGCAAGTAAGTGGATACTCTGCGTACATAAAAAAGAATTATGTATGTAAATGGAATGTGTTTATGGAAAGGTACACAAGTAGCGATTCTTCGAAGAGCATTACACACATACACTCCCGCGTTTAATATGTATCGATTATCCTTCCGTCTATCCATTCAGCTTTTATCAAGAAATTAAGATTAAGCCTCTGATTTCTCTATACCGTCCACATATATTTTTCCTATGAAAAATGCTCCGCTTCGTGCGAAAGAGTAATATGCCCACAAGTATGGTCGACGAGCGTGTAATCGTGAAAAGCGGCCGCGTTCCACAGTGAAATATTAAGCATTATGCGGCACTCACGTGAGTGGAAAGCACGCGAACGTAACTCGTACACGGCCTGCCTCGTACCGAGGAACAGTACCACGATGTCGGTATAAGGGTACGTTCACCTCCTTCCGCTCTCGCGTTCGAGGCACGTGTTTAAGATCACGCGCCGGATTCTATTAAGCTGGTCGATCATTACCGCTTGTTGATTGCAATGATTGCTTTTCGGTCGACAGGCCTCTTCCAGATGCCCTGCTACGCTGCGCAGCGTTACGAAAATTATAGTTTATATCGCGGCGTTTATTAATTAGGATTAAAGATTTAACCCTCTTAGCCCCCGCGAAACATCTTTCAAATTTAACGGTAATTTGCGAGCCGTTTAATTATGCAATATAATTCCATGTTTATTCTTCTTGCAAATTACAAATTAAATAGCAAGATTATTTTGGCATTGTATAGTTAAAAGAATAGAGGAAACATGTATTAATATTTTAATTTTAATATTTTATTAATAATATTTTTATACTCTTTAGATATGAATATCGGAGCGGAAAGAAATCCGAGATACGCAGGCACGTGGAATATGATTGAGTTCGTATTCGCGTACAGATTTGATAAATTCACTAAACCAGTGGCTCGTGCCGCAAACGAGAAGAATGATAGAGGTAATCCTGAAATAATCGTGACACATTTTTGACAATAGGAATAATGATAAATATAAATTTTTTTTTTTTTATATCGCTTATGAAAAATGAAATGATGATTTATTATCGAATTATTTAAAAGGATTGATTATTCCATCACTTTGGGAAAAATATCGTAGCATTTATTTTCATTTTATAATTACTAGAATATTACATAGTGTGCGTTACAAAAAACTTAAACTTGCTTGCATAAAACGAATAAAATCACACACATTGCTGCTGACTCTCTTCGAATCCAAAACACGCGATTTTAGTAATGATAGGTTGCTCACAAAGTAAGGAAAAGAAGCAGTTTTGATAATTTCGACTAATCAATTTTACATTTTTTTTAAAGAGTATATTTCAATTTATATCTCTTCATATGTTAATTTTTTTTCGATTTTTATTAGTTTTTCATTGCATTTAATGTATTTCTAAATATTTAACAGTTTTATATTTAACATTTAAAGGCTATCTCCCTCCTATTATAAACGTGACTAAATATTAAAAATCTACTATATGTTTGTGTAAAAGATCGGAGTAGATATTGAAATATTTTGCGAGCAAAATATAGTCGTATCTAATAATAGCGTTCGGAGGAATCTGAGATATAAAAAATGCGATACTATAGAGAGGATTCTCACTAGTGGCCGTGACAGGGACGTGCTTCGTGCACGACTTCAATCTGCTGCCGTTGGGCTGCCAGGAACATTCTGTCGTGACCTGTCAGGTTTGCATGCCGATGTTCTCGCTTCTGGCAAGAGCCGTAATGTTGTATAACATCGTATCCAGGGTGCACACTGAAATCTCTCGCGCGTTATTTTAAATGTCATTATTATTGAAAGAAAATTCTGCACGAAAATTCTTTGACAATATTTAACATCAACTGTAATAATTATAATTACAAATTTATAAAGAGAGATAGAAACAAATTAATATGAAGAGTTAATTATATTTAATTCTGTAAAAAAATATTAATATACGTTTTTCTGAGTGTCAATAATATTAAATTAATGTTTGTACATATTTGAATTTTTTGTAAAAATGGCACACGTATAAAATCAAGTTTTTACCTTTAATTTTTATGTAAACATATTTTTCCAGAAATGGGCAAAATGTTTCAAAAATTGCAAATTAAACCGCGTTACCGCGTTCCCGCGTTCGCGAGTGATAAGATGAGAGAGAAGAAGAATACGAGCGGATAGAGAGAGAATGAGATAAAATAAGAGACAAGCGGTGGGGAGGAAGGAGAGAAAAAACGGAAGGACGATGCGGGGGGCATGTCCGCCGCCGGCGTCGTGGCGTGTATCGCATTTAATTAGCCACCATATGCGGCAATTAATTAAGAATTTCTCGCGTTATTGATGGTTTCACCTGGGGTGTCCATTAGTCGCTCCAACGACGCGCCGCGCCGTTTTCGAACCGAGAGCTATAGGTATTCGTCCGTTCGCGCAGCCAGGCGCATCCTGCGCGCACGCTTTTCCACTAATCTATCCCCAGGATGATATACGAGCCCGGCCGTAACGCCGGCAATTAACGTTTTCGCCCTCCGCTCGCTTTTGTTCTCCCCGATAACGATTTTTTTCGCAGGAACATTTTTTTATTAATTCACGAGAGAGCCAAAGGATGTAACAAATACACGCCTAGGTTGGAATTACGTTCATTATTACGTTCTTTATTACGCTAATTATTGCGCCTAATTGTTACATATCACACGTAGAAATCTTCCTTCACTTTCACCGACGTAGAAATCGATGGGAAAGAAATGCATCGACTTTTGCGAGAAAGCTTTTCGAAATTCGATTTCTTTTAATAAAATGTGCGAATATATCACAATAAATCACATGGTAATAGTACGCAGATATGTGTTGCAATTTGATAAAATTATAGGAGAAAGGCGTAAAAGAATCTTTTGTACAGTAAATTTTAATTATCTGCCGAAGCATGCCGAAATCATTCGGCTCGTCAGTTCTCGCACTTCCTCCTCAAAATATGTCGAGAGTGACGTGCTTACGACAATAACTTCCCACAACATTGCGAAAAACTGAATAAATATATACATGGTGCAACACGTGAAAACATAAACTTCTTCAGCGATGTATGCCTGCCCACAATGCTCGTAGAATACTACCTCATTTTCGAAGCCAAGTAATTATTAACTTATTCCGTTAAACATTTTGTAATAATTACGTCGAGGATATACTAGCGATTACGGCGAATAATTTATTCTCGTTTCGCAGTATTTAATCAGGAGGCGAAAGAGATATATTAGAGAGCGAAATGTATAATTCAAATATATTATAATAAAAAGTAAGACGCGCACACACACATTGCATTGTATGCATACCGAGCGATCTCTCACGTTAAGCAGGTTTCCGTTCTCTCGATACGGAAGACTTTCATCCGTTGTTTCGCCGGCGCACGATTCTTCAACAAGTGTTTATTTCGTAATCCCAGATA